CGAGCAATTCGTCGAAGTTACTTCGCGAGTAGTGTAGAGGAAGCATAACTTTGGAAAACGGTACTATAGGCCCGTTATTGTCTCGTTCTTCTTCACAAGCACGTTTGACCTTCAAAATAACATCCCTTCCAGCACTTTTAATCACTTTCGGCATAATGATAACGATTAATTACTGCAAAAACGAATAAAAACACGACACCTAACACTCTGTTTAGACACTTGCCATAAACAGTAAAATGGCGGCACACGATTTTTTTTTCATTTATTTATAACATTTTAATAAGTACGAGGGTTACATCTATTTAACTTGCAAAAACCGTGAGGTTTGTCCGCAAGTTACAGTCTCACATATAGTACAAGGTAATAAATAATACAATCTGTAGTGTTATGCTACTTACATATCATTTTACATTATTTTAAATTCATTTTTCCATTCTGTTTCGATTTTCTGCATTCACCTCAAAACTGTATATTTTACATCACCTTTATTTCCATAGGATCCTGTAACGATTTTAAACCATAAGAACACAATGACAAATCATTTCTACTTCGTATTTTCACATTATCAGCACTTTTAAATTGGTGTCAATGGAGTCTACCTTTTTTGATCTTTTATTTAGTTTTCCGTAACTCTGCAATATCGGACTTTGTGCGCGCAGGTGCGCTACCTTTTTTCCTATATCAATAATATCTCATTTTTCACTTAAATCTTGCCGTTTTTCTATTACGAGCCTAAAACCAAAATTTGACATATTTTGACATCGTTGTTTATCTGGTCGTCATGACAATTATATTCAAATTTGCTACCGGTCTGTTGTTTCTACTTCGATAATTCCACATAAATACTCTTTCCTCTTGGCCATTTACGAAAAATTTGCGTTTAATTTAAATAATTTTTCCGTTCTCTCTAGAAAGGTATAAAAGCCGAACAATCGGTGAAGAAATGCAGTCTCGCTTCAGTTCTCAAATTCGAAGCATCTCCTAAAGGCCTTATTCCGGGGCCGCACTGCCCCGGGATCCTGCAAGCCTCTGTCCTGCCTGAAGCCGCTGGACCCTACAAATCTCTGCTCTGCCTGAAGTCGCCGGATCCTACAAGCCTTTGCTCTGCCTGAAGTCGCCGGGATCCTACAAGTCTCTGCTCTGCCTGAAGTCGCCGGATCCTGCAAACCTCCATCCTGCCTGAAGTCACCGGATCCTGCAGGCCTCTGTCCTGTCTGAAGTCGCTGAGGATCCTGCAAGCCCCTGTCTTGCCTGAAATCGCCGGATCTTGCAAACCAGACGTCGTCGTCGTCGTCGCCTAGAGACGCCCACGCCTTCTCACCTACGCCGTGCGTGCTCGTTCCAGGCGCTGAGCGCACTTGCTGTACACCTCGGATCTTCGGGCTCAGCTTCGACACTAATCTCTTTTTTTATTACCTTTTTTTAAATAATTTGTAAATCACGACATCCATCCTCATCTTCATACTCCATTTTGTTACATAAAATTGTAAATATCTTTTGAATCTTAAATATATTATTTGTTTTTGTTCTATTTTTGTTGTTTTGCTGTTACTAGGTTAGGTTCTTTTTGTTCTTAATTGTCGCTTCACGACAAATCATCTAATCTATGGCTGCTTACAAACATTGACAATAATATTAAATAGGTACATGTTTAATGGTATACATGTTTTAATTGATGAATTACGACCCTACGTTAAAATTGCAAATCACCGCACTGACCGGGCCGTGTTACCTGAGAACCGGTTTCGATGAGCCCACGAGTGTGGGTGAGACAATTAGATCGTTCTTAGAGAGCGCTCGGATTATTTAGCAGAAACTGTATACAGGTTGCTGCAAAGAGTGTGAGTTGATATGATTTTTTAATTTATTATTATTTAAACTTTTTCATTGTTTATTTATTCATATTTTAGCATTTACATAGATATATAATTCAATCACCAAAATATAAACAAATAAACATGTTTATTATTTAAATAGAAAGATATGTGCATATACACCTGTGCATATGTACATATATGCCCATTATATGGTATATGTAATATATAAATTATATGTATTATATTTCATTTATGTAATCTACTCCCGTTGTAGCTGTTCATAGAAATATTTTTTGAATTTGTTTTTGTAGTTGTCCTCATTGAAATCTGAGAGTATTGTAGGGGGATTTGGTTCATTAAAGTAGGAATTAAATATCTATTTGTACGTTTTCCATAGTAGTTATGTATTTTGGATGTTACGAGTTTATTATGTGTAATTTTTCTTGTAATAATTTTATGGTTAGTTTTAACTTGCACTTTTTTATTGTGAAATTGTTCTATTAGTATTAGCATCTGAAACTTCGTATGTATAGGTAAGACTTTACAATATTTAAATATTCCTTGAATATTGTTTTCACTGTATAACTTTATTTTTACTTTCTTAGGTATAATTATTTTCAATATTCTCATTTGTAGGTTATGTATTTTATCTAGGTAAGTTTTAAATGTTTTTCCATAGCTCGTAATGCCATACGAAATAATAGACTCAGCAAGAGCGTTATATAGATTCATTAGGATGTGAAATGGCATTTTATATTTTAGTATTGCAAACTTTGCTAGCATAGCCCGTAGTTTGTTACATACATACTCAACATGTTTACTCCAATGGAATCTTTCGTCCACAATCAGGCCTAGGTATTTATAATTGTTAACTTGTTCTAGATGAGTACAATTACAGTTAATATTTAATTTCGGCGATCTATGTAGGCAGTTATGGTTGTGTGCGAGTATTTTTATTGGTATTATTTTAGTTTTCATTGTATTTAATACAAGTCCCGCATCATGTGACCACATACATAGGTTAGTAAAGTCGAGTTGTTACATTTTTTCTGCTCTTGTAATGTCTTTGTTAGCTATTACTAGGCAAGTATCGTCTGCATATTGATACACTGAACTATGTTTAATCATATTCACCATATCATTTACAAAGGCCAGATAGTGTAAAGGGCCAAGGACCGATCCCTGGGCTGTTCCTGTAGTGACAGGTATTTTATCACTGTATTCGTTTACAATTCTCACCCGGTAGTTTCTACCTTTGAGGTAATCTTCACACCACCTGAGAAGAGGCCCACGAACGCCCGTATTATCTAGTTTTTTTATTAATAAATCGTGTTTAAGTGTATCGAAAGCTTTACTGAAGTCAATAAATAAAAGAATTACGTGTTGCTTGTTGTCTAAATAATTGTTAATTTCATCGGTAAATTTTGATAGTAAAGATGTAGTTGATTTATTTTTTTGAAAACCGAACTGAGTACTGGACAAGATTTCATTCGATATATAATATTTTTGTATCTGATTACATATGTATTTTTCAACTATTTTATCTATCACAGGAAGTATTGTAATTGGCCTATAATTGTCATAATCACAGTGCGACCCCTTTTTGTAGATGGGTCTTACTATTCCTACTTTTAATTTTGAGGGATAAATACCAGAATGAACACTGGTATTAATAAGCTTTGCAATTGCTGTTGTGATTTTTTCACATAAGGATTTTATGTCAACGCAGCGAATCTGGTCCGCTCCGGGAGCTTTGTTTATGTTCAATTTCTGAATTATTTTATCTATGCTCTTGCTATCTGCTGCTTTAAACCGCATTGAACTATTTTGAGAAAACAGGTACGTTGCTTGATCTAAAAGTTTTTGTTTACAGTTAGGTAGTAGTCTTTCAACATTTTCTTTAAAACCTTTGCCTTTGCTTTGCGAATTGTTTAGCTGTTAATTTGTTTTTTTGAAATACTTTCAATATTGCCGCATCTAATGATATGTTTACTCTGCCTGTTAGGGAATTTAGAATATTCCATAACTTTCTTGGGTTATTTTTGTTATTATTTATTTCGTGATAATAGTATTTGTTTCGTGATATTTCAATAAGTTTATTTGTTTTATTCCTAATTTTATTAAACTCTAGTCTTAACACTTTATTGTTTGTATCTTTTTTCAACTTTTTATATAGCAAGTCTCTTTTTTCGCAAAAAATGTTTATCTTGGCATTTTTGCGTTGTTTTTTTATTATAATTTTAAACTGGGGGTAGAAATAACAACTTTGAAAACATAAACACAAATCAGCTGTTTCGTACAACGTCGCGAGCGAGACTAGAAGAATAAAAAGAATAAAACTAAAATTAGTTCCACTTTTAGCCGCGTGCAGAGTTACTGTTTACGCACTATACCATCAGGTGGACTGTGTGCTCGTTTGTCACCCTAATTCTATAAAAAAAAGGTGTTATGGTCTAAAACCTTTGCCTATCTTAATTGGCAAATCGTAACATATATATAAATATATTATGTACCTTTTTTGTATTTGTTTTCGGCGGGAACTTCACTTCACTTACCGGTGGAAGAAGATCGTTGGTTCTATACTGTTGTTATTAGTTTGATTTGAATGTTTTGAATTTAAAGTGGATTTTGATACATAAAGGTGATGTGCTTTTGTTTAACAAGTGTCTCCGCATGTCAACTATAGTAGAAACGAAAACACAGTTGCTACTATGTTGATATAAAACCTGATATTTTATCCCATAGATAATACACTATATACCAGGGATTTTGTCCGCTTACCGCTTCTACGAAGAACATCATCTACCATCTCAGAAATACCTTTAGCGGAGATCATCTGGTGACATAATGATATTTGGCCTCTAACTGTTGTTGTCACTAGTCAAAATCTCTCAAAAACTATATTACAAAAAACATATTGCGGGGAAGTTTTCAAACATATTATTATAAAGGATAATTTCCTATTGTTATTTGCAACAGTACAACCATACGAGTCCAAAAAGAAAAAATAACGTAACAAGTAACAACTTAAGTTTTATTAAAAATATTTGAGTGTTCCTAAATACATTAGTCGTTAAGATTTATCTATGATAAATTATTTGCTAGATAGTTGATGAAAATACAAATCGGTTGAGTAGTGAAGAGGCCATTTAAAATATAAAACGTTGACCCAAAATACTAAAAATGATTTATGGTCATATACATCAATTTCTTTTGAGATCGATTGCAAGCCGGGGTGTTATTTCTATGACAGAAACAGAGAAAATTTTGAATAAATTTGAAGGTATTACATATTGTTTTAATTATCACTTAAATAAACTAAGGAAAATATTCACTATACCAGTTATTTTGTCGTTTTTATGTCATCATCTGATTCTTTTTATAGAAAACGTCCAAGCTTCTGTTCAAGAATTAATTAAAGACATAAATGAAAAAATAAAACCATTCGAACAAATGATTAAGATAGCTACTGATGAGTTCACAAGGGAGGAAGTTATTATATTCTTGTCCCTTGGCTATGATGATGCTACTAAATCTCAGAATGTATTTTCTGCAACTGAACTTGAGTACTTTAGAATTCTGATAGAACAAATAATGACTACAGCAACAAGGCAAATTACTGGAATACATGCAGTCAATTTAGTTAGCAAGATGAAAAGCTCTTTCACTAAAACAGATGCACAGGTGAGTAATTTTTTTAAGTTTATAACGATGATGATTGTTGGTGTAGTATGAGTAAGAATATCTACTTACCCATATCCCATGAGTTTTGTAAGAGACAATAGAGGAAAATTGAAACAAGTAATGGGCATTAACATCTTAATGATAACAACAGGATACTCCACTAAAAGCCCTGGTGTACCAGTCATAGTCAATAGATTGATCAAATAAATCTTTCTCACATTATATATAACATACAGTAGCTTCTTCTATAGATATTTTATCTTCAAGGGTGAGAAGGAGAGGAGCAAAGTGAAGCATTGTAATTATATTTACATCATCATGGTCATCGTTACAGCATATTAAAATCCCCTGCTGAATATAAGTCTCACTCATAGATTGTCTCATAGGAGACATAATTTTCATGCTTGGCGGGTACACTAGAAACCCTGTTTTTTTATTGTTTTACATTCTTCTTCTTCCCTTATGGAGGTTACGATGAATTCGCCTATGACATGTTACATGCAAAAAGATTTAATTGGGACACAAACTCTGCTTAAAAAAGGCTAATATATAATACAAGAAATGGTAACAATGAATATTATGTGAATAATTTTAGTCAACTTATTAATTTTCATCGTTACAGGACAATGCTGATTCCCAATTAACATGTCAGTTTCCCTCTGTCGCCTCTTATGAAACCTACTGATTACTAGATACACTGGTTTCTCTTACACCTCCACTGCACTGTGTTACATAGCATGACTATAAAAATAATCACAAATATTGTTTTAATGATATTAATTTATCATATTCTTATGTCAAAATTAATTATGCATTGCGTCAAAAAAAAAATTATTTTATCTAATTTTTAATAATGTCTGTACAGTTTACAATTTTTAATAATGAATATACAGTTGTGAACTTTTGTTTGTGGGACTGTGCTACCAATATGTACATTTTTCTCTACTGAGGTTCTTATTTTATAGAATAAGGGTGACAAATGAGCACACAGTCCACCTGATGGTAAGTGGATGCTGTGGTCCATATACATCTACATTTATCCTCAATTAAAAGTCAAAATGTAGATCCATTGTCACCCTTGAGGACTAAGATGGATTTTTTTTTATAGGATAAGGGTGACAAACGAGCACACAGTCCATCTGATGTTATGTGGCTGTGGTGGCCCATAGACATCTTCATCAATCTTGTATTACGGATCAAAATGCAGATGCGTTGTCTACTAACAACTGCCGTGAGGACTAAGATGGAATGTCTCGTTTCCAGTAAAAAGGGTCTCCGGTTCTCTACACTTACCATATGAAACACAGCAGCGTTAAGCTTCTATTTTACGCTGGTATTCTGTGAGAGCATAGTCCTTCCCCGGTCGAGCCGACCCATTCGTGCTACAATCATAATATAGCTGCAGCATGGCTCTACCATGTATTGAATGCCTCGTTTCCAGTAAAAAGGGTATTCGGATCTCTTACAAACCTTAAGAAACTGCAGCGTTAAGCTGTTATTTTACAATGATATTATGTGAGAGTGTTATCCTACCCTGGTTGAGCCAACACATTTGTGCTAAATCCATAATATAGCTAAAGTGTAGCTCTTCCACGTAGACATGGCTCCAAGGTTAAATAAAAATCAAATTTGATATGCATGTAAATATGAGGTTGGATGTTTAGATTGCCAATCTATGAGACATGCCTTCTTTTTGCTATTATAATGTGGATGCCTCCTTTGTGCAGTGGCTTAACTTTTGCCTAGAGTGTTGCAGGATTTCAGTTAAATTCTCACTCGGAATAAATGTTTTTTCCTACAAATGGTTGCTCTGGGTGTGTGTAGGGTAAAATTCGTTGTGTAACATTTTAAATTTAATATTTTATTTCAAAAGAGAAATCCTGTTATTGTGTGTCTCTATGATAATCCTTAATCCTGTTATTAAAATGATTTCAGAAATTACTCAATATTTGGTGTCGCATGCGCTATCTGGATAAGGATGACTCAAACTATGCTTTAGGAGTGCGAGCAATCCATGAATTTGAGGGCTACCTCCGTCAAAATATGCCGGACACCATTGAAGAATGTTGTCTTTGTAAGCAGATTGTATTTAGGGTAAGTCAATATTTTATCATTTGATCATGCATTCATTCATTACAGTCTATTAAAAGTCCACTGTTGAATATAGGCCTACCCCATAGATTGCCTTATAGGGGGATATTTGACATGTAGTTTAGTAAACACAATTCTTCAGGATGACATGGGTTAAGAGGTTCTCTTATGGCTCTGTACATGGTGGCGTCAATATTTAGATTCAAAATATGTTACTACTGATGTTTTAAGGGGGAAAACTTTTTGGATTTGATAACAGTAGTGTTTTACTAAATGGGTAACATGTTGGGTGCTTTTTTACAACGGGGGTAACATCATGAATGCTGCTGTCATCTGAATAGGAGCTACCCTCTTACCTACTACTGCTGCCAAGTAGCAGTGTGTGCATTGCTGTGTTCCAGTCCGAAGGGTATAGATAGCCAGAATAATGATAGGCTGTGAGACATTCCATCTTAGTCCTCCGATGTAACAATGCGTCTGTAAACTTCTTTATTTAAATTTGTTTTCACGAGCCTGTGGGGTGCAGTAGCCACTTACTATTAGGTGGTCTGTAAGTTTATTTGTCATTACAGTTTTATAAAAGAAAGGTGAAATGGCAAGCTTAATTATGTGATCTTCAAAGAAAGTGTCAATTGCTATTATAGGAGCTGCCTTACCACATTTTCAGTAAAGCCTAAATGTTTCAATAATTTAAATATTGTCAAAGTCATTCATGCTCCAAATGAAAAGAGACCTGTTTGCAGCTGTACTATTTTGCTCCTTTTTCAACTATAATAAGCACCTGTGTTATGGCTCTTGTTTAAATTTAATTTATAGCATCTTAGACGGAGGTTACATGCTCATTCTGGCGTCAGTTTAATCCATGATTAATGTTAGAATGACGGGAAACCGACTGTATATGTGTAGACTGATGGATTGATGGTCCAGAATGGTGATTATTTAAATATCTTAATAGTTTTTGTCAGTCTGGTCAGACTGATGCCAGACTGAACGTGTGTTTCATAGCTATCAGTCTGACATCAGTCACCGCATTGACAACAATGGAGTCGCACGCCGTGTCCCGCGTGCGTGACACCCCCGCCACCCCCGATGTCCCCTTCTCAACCATTAGCCCTGGAGAAATAATTTATTACAACTTTTTTTTTTCTTTTTAAATGTTACACCTTACTAGAATTTTCTCCTGTACCGTGGAGGCAGTTTACAAACATAAATTGCTCAAGGACAAACATTCAGACCAGGAACAATTATTTGCAGGCCATACAAATAGTTTTTCCGTGCGGGATTCGAACCCGCGGCCCCCAGTGCTGCAACTCGTTACTAAGCCACTGCGCCACGGAGCCGTCACTTCAGAAGTTTTACCTTTTCTTTGGGATAAAACGGATACCCAACATTTGAATAAATATAAGAGAAACGAGGCGCTGCAGTAACTATTAGTAATTAAAAAAAAATAAAACCCCCAAGCTAATGTAAAAGACGTGAAAAAGAAAATTAATACCCTATGATCCAACTATCGCCGTGAATTCTTTAAATTTTTCTTGTTAAAATCCATACCTAATGCGTATGCGTGTTATCGCGTAGAAGTTTTCAGTTGGACTGATTGTCAGTCTGACTTACCGTCTAATACCTCCCGTCAATCCCTCATTTAGCTATCAGTCTATATGTGATCAAGGTCACAGACTGAACTGACGCCAGATTGAGCGTGTAACCTCCGATTTAGACGGAGGTTCTTCTTCTTCTTCTTTTAAATTATGGCTTCTCTTAATAGAATTCTGCCAGTGTCAAGTCAGTCATGGGAGTGACAAGTAAATATTTATTACATTAAATAGTTCTCAATTTTACAAGTGGGTTCACAATCTACAACAAAATACGTCACATTTTTAAGTACCATCACCAAAATTGATTAGTAATTTTACAGTTTAATATTATTAGTACGAATAAAATCACACAAAATATTTACAAAAGGAGTATACACTAGGGACAACAAATATTGGAAATTTACAGGACGCGGGACGTAGTGGGGCAGGATATCATAGAGAAAGTGAGAAAGGTTAGGACACTCAAAGAACAGATGGTTTACGGATCCTTCGTCTAGCCCACATTCACATATTGAGCTATCCCTAATCCTTAGTTTAGCCAAGTGTACCGGAGTACAAGCATGTCCAAAGCGAAGGCGACAAACAGTAGAGGTGATTGATTTATTAAAGTGACGATATAGAAAGAACCAGGGTTTTGATGGGATATTAATTTGGACTTTGGAATAGTGTTTACATTTTAAAAGTTTAGACTGATGCCAGATACTTTGCCATGTAGACAGAAGGCTGGATCCAGCCTTTGGTAGGAGGTCATATGCATAGAGGCATTGTTTAGGGAGGGAGCCAGATTTGGTGGCTTCTTTAGCTAAATGATCGGCAATTTCATTACCCTGAATCCTGCAGTGGCTAGGGATCCAAGCCAAAACAATTTTCAGCCCTTTTTTATGGCAGTTGAACAGAGACTTTCTAATATTTAAAATTAGGGGATATCTTATCTTAGAGTGAAAAGGACTGGATGCTATGCTTTGAAGGCAACTGAGGGAGTCTGAGAAGATGAGAGTCCTTTCCAAATTGTGAGATTCCGCATATAAGACTGCCTCTAAAATAGCTAAAGACTCACCTGTGAATACAGATGATTCAGGCGGAGAGTTAAAATTTAAAATAATCTTGTATTTGGGGATCCAGACTGCGGACCCAACTAATCCCTCGTCACTTAGCTTTGAAGCATCAGTGTACATAATTAACCAATCATGCCAATTTTGGAGGAGGAGCATATTAAATTTGTTATTGACTTCAATAGTATTCTTATCTATTCCGAAATTTAGAATAATGTCTGGGTTGAAAGTTAGAGCCTCGTATGGGATATTGAAAAGTGGATTGCTATGGGACTGATAAACAGGAGAGTGAACATTGACTAATTTAATATAACTTTTTATAATACATGGCAAATCCTTGTGGGACCAATATGGAGAGTCCCTGACCGACTGATACAAGGAACGAAGTTTGGAGAGGAGAGGATGGTGTGAATAAGAAGCAGCTTTGAACAGAAACCTATCTGAGAGATATTGTCTACGTAGAAATAAGGGGGGCTCAACACATTCAACTTGTAGAGCAGATATGGGGGTAGATTTCATGGCACCTGTTATTATACGTAGACATTTTGACTGAATTTTGTCCAAGGTATTAAGAGCCATTTTGCTACATGGTTCCAGTAAAAAGCAGCCATAGTCAAAATGACTTCTAATAAGAGCATTGTATAAAAGCTTTTGGGAGTATGGGTGGGAACCCCACCAGGCTCCTGACAGGGATCGGATTACATTGAGGTTTTTTTCACATTTGGAAGCAATATATGATAGATGAGGAATTCCTGTCATTTTGTTATCCAGAATAACTCCTAGAAATTTCACCTGATTTTCAGTGGGGATTAGGGTGTTTTCAATATATATGGACACTTCTGGTATATGCCTTCGCCTAGAGAAAACCACAGTACTGCATTTCAAAGGAGATATTGATAGGCCATGCTCAGACAGCCAGTTATTAAGATAGTTGACAGCTTGGGATAAACGGGAGGAAGCTTTGGCAATAGAGGCATCAGTTACAAACAGGGCTAGGTCATCTGCATATTGCAGGACATTACCTAAGTAATTCACAGATCTGTCTAGATCATGAGTGTAGAGGCTGTATAACAAAGGGCTCAAGACAGAGCCTTGTGGTAGTCCCTTCCAGGTAAATCTAGCTGGTAGAAATCTCCCTTCAGAACGGACTAATATGCGTCTATGTGAAAGTAAGTTTGATACGAAATTTGTTATTCTCTCAGGAATGTTCAGCTGATGCATTTTTTGCCTGAGCAGTGGGAGAACAACATTATCATATGCCGCACAAACATCAATAAAAACGCCTACCAGAAAATTGTTATTGGAGAAGGCAAGTCTTATATCGGATACTAAGATGCTAAGGCTATCCATTGTGCTAAAACCTTTTCTAAAACCAAATTGACTCTTTGGTATAATGCCTCTGTTTTCAAGAATCCATTCAAGTCTATTTTTTACGAGGTGCTCCATGATTTTAGACAAGGTTGATGAAATAGCAATAGGGCGATAACTTGATGGTGAAGAAGGGTCCTTACCAGATTTTAGAATGGGTATAATAATATGAGTTTTCCAATCATGAGGAATGGAACCGGTTGTAAAGGCAAAGTTAATGATGTTTAAAAAGAACTGCTTACACTTAGTACCCGTATTAACTAAAAATGAGTAGGGTATACCATCAATGCCAGGAGTGGAATCCTTAAGGTGCCTAAGTACTAACTGCAGTTCAGCTATTGAAAATGGTTCATTAAGGTTATTAAGAGAGTTAGATGACTGAGGAGGGAATGATTTAGAGTTAGGAAATATCTCTTCTTCCAATGGAACCCAGGGGGGAGCCAGTCTGTTACTGAAGTCGTCTAACCAGTGGGAAGGATCTGCACAAGGGGGATTACTATAATTTAAAGCACCACGGAAGCGCCTGATACTTTTCCAAACAAGAGAAGAAGGTGATCGGGGAGATAAGCTCTCACAGAATGAAAGCCATCCTTTTTTTTTCTTTTCGGAGAGAAGTTTTTTGGTCTGAGCAGCTATTTTTTGATAGTCTAGAAAATTTTCCATAGTCATATTAGAGGAATATAGCCTTTCTGCAACCTTTCGTTTTCTAATAATTGAGGAGCAGTCTGCATCCCACCATGGAGGTGAAGAGATTTTTTTTGTGGAGGAATTCTTCAAAGGGAAAATTTTGCAGGCTATATTATTCAGAAGGGTTATAAATTGGGAGTAGACACTCTGAAAGTTATCTAAAGAAACTGAGGGAAGGTTATTGATATGAACTTCTGATTCTGAGGAAAATACATCCCAATCAGCTTCAGACAGGTTGAATTTGAAAAGGGGAGGTATACTTCGAGCAGGGACACATCTATTACTTAGGTTTAAGAGGATGGGAAAGTGATCACTACCAAAAGAGGAAGGAAGAGTTTTCCATGATATGCTAGCAGCCAAGATTGGAGAGCACAATGACAAGTCTACTACGGATCTAGTATTCTGCGAAGGGTAGGACATTCTGGTGGGAGAACCATCATTTAGGAGACAAAGATTAAATTCATTGAAGACATCAAGAAGCAAATAAGAAAAAGAGTCAGTTTTATGGGAACCCCACATAACATGATGGCTGTTGAAGTCTCCTAGAACAATGTAAGGTGGGGAGATGCTTGATAGGATTAAATTGAGATCTGGAATACAAGAAGGAGTGGGTGATGGGATGTAGATGGATAGAATTGTGATGTCCAAAGCTTTAACAGCTACTGCATTAATATTGCCTAGTATAGGAGGAAGCTGGATAGGTGATAAAGGAATGGTCCTGTTTAGTAGAATCAGAGCACCGCCATAGCCGTCACTCCTATCACTACGGTAACAGAAGAAGCCTGGGATTCTAAATGGGGACCCTGGCTTAAGCCAGGTTTCCGATATTGCAAGTATTGAAGGATTATAAGAGTTAATTAAGTGAATTATATCAGGTTTCTTATTCCTGATGCTCCGACAATTCCACTGGAGGAGGGTTAGGGACTCGAACCTTATATATTCTGGAGAAGAGGACATCTAGTTTGTTTTTCACGTTGAACGGTAAATGGGAATCGTCAAATTTTCCAACAATATCTGTAAGGGAGGCCACAAGATTTTCTAGAAGATTTTCATTAGAGGATATTACATTGTTTTGTAGTGCATGTCCATTGGGGAGAGATGAGGACGGAGTACTTGTAATGTTATAATGTGAAACTTTATCATAACCTAGTGAAGATTGCACAGGGATAGATTTGGTTTTATAGATGGTTTTCCTATAGGATTGGGAAGGAGATGGAAAAGTAGGAAGGTTTATAGGAGCCTGAGTAGAGGGGAGATGGCTTGCAGAAACTTGTGAGGATGCAACATCAGAATAAGGTCTTCTGACAGCTGGGAAACGAGCAGAAGCTTCAAGATATGATACATTCTCTTGCGACATTACTATCTTGATAGCCTTTTGCCTTGAGTGTTCAGGGCAACTTTTTTCAATGGCCGAATGATTTGCAGAGCAGAAAAGACAGGTTGGGGAATCTGTGGGACAATTTTCTCCAGTATGCTCTTTGCTGCATTTAAAGCAGCGTGGTTTGGATCGACATTGAGCTTTGACATGACCGAAACGGCAGCAGTTTAGACACTGGATGGTAGGGAGAAGGTAAGTCTCTACAGGAATTGATGCATAAAAGCAGTATATGTGGGAGGGGAGCACTTGTCCAGAGAATGTTAGGACAACAGTTTGAGTAGGGACCCACTCTACTTCATCGCCCTTCTTGACCTTTCTATTAAGTCTTCTGGCTTTAATGATTTCCCCTCTGCCAGGAGGAAGCTCAGATTCACAAACTAATTCGTCCATAGAGATGTCAGTTGGGATACCTCTTATGACACCCATGCGAGTAACATTAAAAGTTGGAATGACAGCAGAAAGTTTATATTTCGAAAGAAACTGAGAGTCAATAAAATTATTAGCATCAGTAGCTGTTTTAAAAGCAATTGAAACTCTATTACGCCCTAAGATTTTGATGCCGTGTTTTTCAATATTGGCTACTTTATTTTGTGAGAGGATATGGCCAATTTTCACAGGTCTAATTGTATAACCTGCTGATGGATCAGGTTCTGATCGACTTAAATGTATAACGAAAGGGCCTTTATCACTATCTACATACTTCTTTTTTTCTTGGAATTCAGGATGGACGTATGTGTTTTGGTAAGAGGCCGAAGGGTGATCTTCGTGCCCTATTTTTTTCTTTGGGAAGCTGGGTAGAGGGTCCGTAAGTTTACGTTTGACAGAGCTAGAATCACCGCATAAATCCGGTGGTTCAGCATCTCCCCCGTCAACATCCATCGTCGTCACAAGGATCTACATCAACTATCTAAACAAATAATACTCACCAACTAACAAACAGAACACACACAGACAACACAAAGAAAATTGAGAAAGTTTACGCAAATTTAAATCGAAAAAGAATTAAAAACTAATTTCAGTAGGAAAAAACGTGTAACCACCAATCACTCTGACAGCAGAAAAAAACTCTAGACGGAGGTTACATGCTCATTCTGAACGTCAGTTCAATCCATGATTGATGTTAGAATGACGGGAAACTGTATATGCGTAGACTGATGGATTGATGGTCCAGAATGTTGGTTATTTAAATATTTTAATAATTTTGTCAGTCTGGTTAGACTGATTCCAGACTGCACGTCTTTTTATTAGCTGTCAGTAACCGCTTAGACAGCGATGGAGTCGCACGCCGTGTCACCGCAAGCACCGTCTTCCCCGCCACCCCTGACGTCCCCTTCTCAACGATTAGCCCCGGAGATAGAATATATTCCAACTTTAGAAGTTTTACCTATTCTTTGTGATAAAACAAATAACCAACATGTGAATAAGTATAAGAGAAACTAGGTGCTGCGGAAACTATTAGTAATTTTGAACAAAATTAAAACCCCAAGCTAATGTAGATGTGAAAAAAAAAATTAATACCCTAAGATCCAATTATTGCCGTGAATTCTTTATTTTTTTCTTTAATTTTTTTCTTGTTAAAATCCACACCTAATTCGTATGCCTGTTATCGCGTAGAAGTTTTCGGTTGGACTAATCGTCAGTCTGACTTACCGCCCGTCAATCCATCATTTAGCCATCAGTATATAAGTGATCAAAGTCACTGACTGAACAAATGCCAAAATTAATGTGTAACCTCCGTATTACTTAATTGAATATCCTAAAATATTTTGATTAATACTTATTATATTATTACGTTAACCAATGTTGATCTTAACTCTGTAGCCTTATTGAATAAAAAGTAATTTTACATTGCGTTTTATTTTCAATTCCCCTATGTTTCAGGCGCTTTACTGCACTCAAAACTCAGAACATCCCAGTCAGTCTTGGAGGGTGAAACGTCGGGAGTTAAAAAGTTAGGATAAAATTCCTGAGATTAGTTTTTTTTCACAAACACTCACGCCTGTCACCCAGAGGGGTAGGCAGAGACTACGGACTTCCATTGGGCGCCATCCTGACACACCCCTCTCGCCTCCTTTACATCCATATATCTACGCATACACGGTCGTCGGTTAAGAGTACTCCTAATCTGGCCTATTTTCAATGTATCGCCGATTTGGTCGATAAACATTCGTCTAGGGCGTCGCTTCCTGACCCTGCCGTTCACTTCTGCTACATAAATTTGCTTTGTCTCTCTTTCCTCATTCATTTTTTCTACATGACCAAACCACCGAAGCATTCCTTTCTTAGTTCTGGTCACAATGTCATCTTCCAAACCACACTTTTCTCTAATTACACTATTTCTCAGCCTGTCATTCAGATTCAGCCCTAGTTTTTTTCAATATGTATATTCACATAAATATAAGAAATTATTCTATGGCCTTAGATGGGCTGCAAAACCAAGACTAATGGCTATAGTTAGCTTAATATTAATGTATATGTATATTAAAGTTTAAAAGTAGTTGTTTTTATAATTCCAGGGCTATAACTGTCCAGCTTGTGGATTGGCTGTTCATACGCAATGTCTGAATCGGTACTTAGAAAAAGTACAGAAATGGCCATGCTGCAAGGTTGACTTTAACCAATCACAGTTAGATCAGTTGAATTGTGAAGGGTATGTTTGATGTTTATTTTTTTTAAACATTATACTTAATTTAATATTAATGAAAACATTAGCATACACATATTGGTCATCAATCATCACATATGCACATTTTGCTAGTTATAAGGAAATACATAATGAAAACTTCTTTACTACTTCAGAAAAGTAGACAGTAGAGTCTAATGGCTCTGAGGATAGTTAAATATGATTTTGCTTATTTGCCTTTTATAAAAAGTTCAACTTTCACAGTGATAAAAGTGAAAATTACCTTCAACTAGCATTATTTATAATCTATGCCAAATAAAATATTCTGTTTTTCGGTGGCCTCCTTTAAATTTCAACCAGATGTGATAATAATGGTGAAATTATTTTGTTGTATATATAAATATACTATAGAATAGAATAGAATAGTATGATTTTTATTCAATATTGATCACTGGTTCGGAAAATACCTCTGTCCTTGGAAGAACCAGCAAGAAATCCAGCGGGACTTTTTTTTAAACATTATTTCACATAACATTAATTTTGTTTATACAATTTTAAATTAATTTTCATAGAACTAGCATGGTCGCGATCACCTTATTCCCAGGGGTTATTTTCATTCATGTATTCTTTGATATTATAATAACCCTTTTTGTACAGTTTTTCTTTAATAAAACTTTTAAACTTCCTTTCTTTAATAAAACTTTATGGAAGACAGCTTTGGTCCACCCGATCCCTAAAAAAGGCGACCGCTGAGACCCATCCAACTACAGGCCTATTGCCATCACCTCCTTGTTCTCCAAAATAATGGAATCCATTATAAACTGCCAGCTCATGAGGTACCTTGAGGATCACCAGCTGATTAGTGACCGCCAGTACGGTTTTCGTCGAGGTCGATCAGCTGGTGATCTTCTAGTCTATCTGACTCATAGATGGGCGGAGGCAGTAGAGTTCAAGGGGGAGGCATTGGCCGTTAGTTTGGACATAGCGAAGGCCTTCGATCGGGTCTGGCACAAAGCGCTTCTTTCGAAGCTTCCTTCCTATGGGCTTCCCAAGAAATTGTGCAAGTGGATCACCAGTTTCCTTGCTGATCGGAGCATCAAGGTCGTAGTAGACGGTGCATGCTCTGATTTCAAGCCTATCAACGCTGGTGTTTCACAAGGCTGCGTGCTATCACCAACGCTGTTTCTCCTGCATATCAATGATATGTTGCTAACTATTAGCATTCATTGCTATGCAGACGACAGCACTGCTGATGCCTTATATACCGGCCGTGCCAATATTTCTCGGGAAAACGTCGCTGAGTACCGGAACAAACTTGTGTCTGAAGTCGAGTCTTTGCTTAACAAAGTCTCGGAATGGGGCCGACTAAATCTAGTCCAGTTCAATCCCCAGAAGACACAAGTTTGCGCGTTTACCGCTAAAAAGAACCCCTTTGTCGTATCTCCTCAGTTACAAGGCACTCCCCTTGCTGCCTCAGCTAGTATCGGAATCCTTGGCGTCGACATATCGAATAGTGTGCAGTTTCGTGGTCACTTGGAAGGGAAGGCCAAATTGGCCTCTAAAAAGCTTGGCGTGCTCAGCAGAGCGAGACAGTATTTCATACCGGCACATTCCTTGCTTGCTAAGCGCAAGTTCGGCCCCACATGGAATACTGTTCTCATCTCTGGGCTGGGGCACCCCAGTGCCAGCTCCTTCCACTTGACCGCATCCAGCGCAGAGCGGTTCGAATCGTCGGCGACCGAGTTCTTTCTGATCGGCTCGATACACTGGCACTGCGTAGAGATGATGCATCTCTTTGCGTATTTTATCGCATCTATCACGGGGAGTGCTCTGAGGAATTGTTCGGACTAATTCCAGCCGCTCAATTTCACCATCGCACATCGCGACAAAACTCGCGTTACCATCCATACCATCTGGATGATTGGCGGTCCACCACTGTGCGATTTAGAAGAAGTTTTCTCCCTCGCACAACTTCCTTGTGGAATCAATTATTTAATCATCATTCAATTACGAATTTTCCGGACCGATACGACTTAGGAACCTTCAAGAAAAGAGCTTACACCTTTCTAAAAGGCCGGCAACGCATCTGCAATTCCTCTGGTGTTGCGGTTGTTCATGGGTGGCGGTAGTCACTTACCATCAGGTGAGCCGCATGCTTGTTTGCCCCCTCTTCTATAAAAAAAAAACTTGTTTATTGACAAACTTTGAACATGTTCTGGGATTATGTTGTAAAAGCGTATACATTGCCCCATAAATGAATTACTAATTCTGCGGAGTCTAGTAACTGTAACGCATTACCCCGTATCAAATTCCATAAGACATTACGCTATGAATTGTCTCAACATCTGTGAGACTTCTACTCTTTCTTACAGCATATGCTGCAGAACTAAGTCTGCTTGCTAATTTATATATATGGGGGCCCCATTGAAGTTTCGCGTCAATAATAATACCAAGAAAAACAGTGGTATCCACAATACTCAACTCCTCCCCATTTAAGAGCACATTGGTTTTCGAATGTTTTACATTATATATTGTAAATTTAATACATTTTGTCTTATTGCCGTTTAAAAGCAAATTGTTGGCGTTAAACCAATGTACTAATTTCGATAGAGCATTATTTACATCGTCATAATTAATTGACTGCCGTTTGAGTTTGAAAATTAAAGAGGTATCGTCAGCAAATAATACTATATTGTAATTGTCTACAAGATAAGATAAGTCATTAATATAGATTAAGAACAGGAATGGGCCAAGAATCGAGCCCTGAGAACGCCTATTGATACTACCGATCAAGAGGAACCTTTACCATTGATTACGACTTTTTGAGTTCTGTTACCTAAATATGAAGTAATAAGTCTAAGTGCCAATTTTTTTTACACCGTAATGTTGTATTATTTGTATTTGTATGTGTTTGTTTCAACCATTTGAAAGATTTCTTTTTTGCGACATAAATATCATTTGTTATCTCGTTTAGATTAAAATACAAATAAATTGTGAATACATTATGAATTCAAAATGGTCCCATAGCTTCCTAAGTAGTTATCTCTGGTCGCGCATTGGAGCTTACGCGCACCATTTTCTATTCAATATAGATTATAAGATTATATCATAATAATTATTGAAAGTATTTTTTTGTATTTAGCACTATTGAGTTGGTGTTATGTAAAGTACCACTGAGAAAGGTTGAGATGCAGAATTTACCGTAAATCACCACTTCTCTCACAGATGCATTAGCATTGATTGCAACACAAGATGTCTCACATCTTTCGTGGGCAATGACATCTTTCTGACCTTTCCCATAGTCATCTCTTACAACACCTACGGGATGAAATGGAGTATGGGATTCTCTTATACCATCAACATACGACTTCCCTTATCTCTTTACCGCTGATGAATTATACTGATAATTTATACATAAATAAATTAAATAGATTTATAAATTTATAAATCATGTTTTTTAAGTGCAGGAGAAAGGTAGGTAAATTTTTCCAATAAATATAAAATGTGTGTTGTAATTCCAGGCTAACACAGACTCAACATTTGGAAGAGACTCAACAGTCTGAAGTGTACAATACTGTAGTTGAACCGATATGTGATATATCATTGGATGAGGATCAGGGGACACAAGAAATAATTCCTGAAATCTCCCAAAGAATTACCAAGAAGAGAAAACGGCAGAACGATTGATCTGGTATAATTTTTGCTTAAGATGTTTTGTTGTATTATAAAACTAAATTAGCTATTTAATTATAATGTATGTATTAATATTTTTGTTATGTAGTTCAGAGTTCTTGCATTGTACTTAAACATCCTTGTAAGTTGTTCCTGAGTTGTTATGATTTTACAAGTTTTCTCTACATTTATCGCACCTTCGGAACAGTAGAGACATATATCAAAAATCTAGTTAGGATATCAAATTTTTTTTATAAATTTATTCGTTTTGTATGAAAACATCAATTATTTGATTTGTGTATTAAGTTTAGTTTATCTTCTGTTGTCTGAAGATAAGTTTGAAACACATTTTTCATTAAATTTAAGATTTTTTAAAAAGGTTTCTAATTTAGGTCTGTATTCAGTAATTTTGTTCTATTTCCGAAAACCGCAAAAATGGAAAAAAACCACCAAAATGTTTTCGTGTCACAAGAAAGAATAAGTAATTTTACCATCAGGTGGACTGAGTGCTCCTTTGTCATTTTTATCCTGTAAAAAAAAGTAATTTTATAATAAAAAAAGAACTGAAATTATTCACTCTTTTTTATTTTCATGTCTCTTTGAGTATATTTCTGCAATCATTCACGCAAGGTCAAATTATGATTAATAAAATCTTTCTCAATATAAACATTCTCACAAATAAACGGAGTAACCTTACAATTACCACATGCATTCTTATGAAGAAAACTTCTTCATAATACAATTATCACAATCATTCATAAATCAGTCTTCAGGCAAATTCTTTAACAAATACAAGAACTTGTAGTTGATATGGTTACAATACAATATTCATCATTTAACTACAATAAAAGGATTATTTACTTCACGCACAATCCCTGACGGGGTAGCCAGAGAGAACAGATCGCCAAGTGTCACGATCCTTACAAACCTCTTTCGCTTCTTTCAGATTCATTATCTTCTTCATGCATGCACGTCTAGGTATCCGAGTACTCTTGACCCTACCCTCTTCGAGCAATTTGCTCACATGGTCTTCGAAAGTTAGTCTCGGTCTACCTCGACACCTTTTAATATTAACTTTCGCGCTATATATTTTCTTTACCATTCGGTCTTCACTCATTCGCTCAACGTGCCCAAACCACCGAAGTACGCCCTTATCAATTTTTGTGATAAGGTCATCTTTCAAACCTGCCATATTGCGAATCTCTTCGTTTCGCTTTCGGTCGGCCATGGTAACGCCGCACATTTTACGAAGAGATCGCATGTCCACTGCATTCAACTTACTTTTATGCTTCTGGCATACCCAGGTTTCGCTGCCATATAACAAAGTCGGTACCAACACTGCGTTATGTATTGCAAGGCGTGCACTCTTCGCTATGCCTTGCCTTTTGACTAACGCAGTCAGGGCATCATTGACTTTGTTCCCGGCAGCGACACGCCTGTCCACATCTAAATCACATCTTCCATCCCGGCTAAAAGCACTCCCCAAGTATACAATAAAAGGATTATTTAGCCTTAAATGTAGATGACAGATTATATATAGAGCCTTCAGACATAACATCCGAATCATCTGATTCTCGGAATAAAAAACCTGAATATGACGACTTTGATTGTGATGATGATTATGATATGACATGACTGTATTAGTTGATAATGTTTTTAGTTTTCATCTTTTGATTCTTGTTTTTGAACTTTCTGAATATTTTTCAATTAATGCATCCTTTCGGGAGAGTCATTACGAATCGTCTCGCGCGCAGACTTGACGACTTCCAGCCTCCCGAACAAGCCGGTTTCCGAAAGGGCTTTAGCACCATAGACCACATACATACCCTTCGGCAAGTTGTACAGAAGTCCGAAGAGTACAATTTGCCACTATGTCTGGCGTATGTGGACTATGAGAAAGCCTTTGATTCCGTCGAAATTTGGGCGGTGCTGCAGTCCCATCAGCGGTGCCAAGTTGACTGTCGGTATATCGAAGTGTTGAAGTGCTTGTACAGTAGGGCTACGATGGCTATCCGAGTACAGAACCAGAGTACGAAACCTATCCAATTGCAGAGAGGTGTAAGACAGGGTGACGTCATATCCCCGAAACTCTTCACCGCTGCATTGGAAGACGTTTTCAAGCTTCTGGACTGGAAAGGATACGGTATCAACATCAATGGCGAGTACATCACTCACCTTCGATTTGCCGACGATATAATCCTTATGGCAGAATCGCTGGAGGACCTAAGCACTATGCTCAATGACCTCAATAGTGTTTCCCAACGGATAGGTCTTAAGATGAACATGGACAAAACAAAGATCATGTTTAATGTCCATGTCACACCTATGCCGGTAGTTGTTGGGAGCACTAAGCTCGAAGTTGTTGACGAGTATGTTTACCTGGGACAAATAGTCCGACTGGGTAAGTCCAACTTCGACCGAGAGGTCAATCGACGGATTCAACTCGGCTGGGCAGCGTTCGGGAAGCTACGACACATCTTCTCGTCAGACATACCTCAAAACCTTAAAACGAAATTGTACAACCAGTGCGTGTTGCCAGTGATGACTTACGGAACTGAGACGTGGTCCTTCACTGCTGGCCGTATGAGGAAGCTCAAGGTCGCTCAGCGAGCTATGGAGAGGGCTATGCTCGGAGTTTCTCTGCGTGATAAACTTAGGAATGAGGATATCCGCAGTAGAACCAGAGTGACCGACATAGCCCAACGGATTAGTAAGCTGAAGTGGCAGTGGGCCGGCCATATAGCTCGAAGAACCGACAACCGATGGGGAAGAAAGGTTCTCGAGTGGCAGCCTCGTACCGGTAGGCGAAGTGTAGGGCGTCCCCCCACGAGATGGAGTGACGACCTGGTAAGACATGCAGGAAGTCGATGGATGCAGGTGGCTCAGGACCGTGTTTTGTGGCATTCTTTGGGGGAGGCCTATGTTCAGCAGTGGACTTGTGAAGGGCTGTAATGATAATGATGATGATGATGATTCGGGAGCATCGACAGTAGATGGTATTCCAGCAAAAGTTCCAGGAGCATTATCAGTTGAAACGTCAGCATTAGGGAGCTCAGCTGTAGGTGTGTCAGTGATAAAGGAAGTGAAAAAATCATCACGTAAACGTATTTCTGTTAAATAGATGACTACCAGTTTTCTGAAATCCTGCGATAGCATTTTCCATAGAAAATGCTGCAGTATATGCGGTGTTGGCAAATTGAGTCACTTCATAAATTGATACTGTCTTTCTGGGATTAGATAACATTCATGCATTCATGACCTCTCTATACCGAGCTTTAAAAGGTCCATTAACAGAAACATCCAGGGTTGAAGGCGATGGCTAGAGTGAGGTGGAAACGTTCAAATTGTTATACGATTATCCCTAGCCAACGTGACATCGATTGTTATGTAGCTATAATGATTGTCACATAGTATTAAACAGGTGATTTCCTCAGGTGGCTTTAAGATAAAAGTTTGATAAAAAATTTGATGAAAGGCCTTGTAGAAACTCTTCTGTTATCCAAGCACTTGAGATGGCTAAGCCCAGTGACACTTGGACCGCCTTGTAACATGAATTTCTTGAAATAGACTAGGAAACACAAATACCGGAGGTACGGTGCCACCAGAAGCATGAATGAATCAAAGCCAATGCTAACAATTGATTAACATCCTCTCTCTCTGCTGATGTCACCTGTCCAAATTGTTTACACACCTCGTGTTGCAGCTACTTTTGGTGGGTTGGTCACTGTCGAACGTCCAGTTTTGTCAAATTCCATATCATGTGAGGTTCAATTTTCTTTTTATTCAATATATTTGCAAGATTTTCGTAAAACTTGGTAAAAATACACGTGATAGAGGAGCCATGCTGTAGCTATATTAGTAGTATAGTTTGTAGCACGAATGGGTCGGCTCGACTGGGGAGGAAGCACCACGCTTTCACAGAATACCAGCGTAAAATAGCAGCTTAACACTGTTATGTTTCGTATGGTGAGTGTACAGAACCGGAGACCCCTTTTACTGGAAAAGAGGCATTCCATCTTAGTCCTCACGGGTGATAATGCATTTGCATTTTGATCTTTTATTGAGGATAGATGTAGATGTCTATGGGTCACAGCAACCACTTACCATCAGGTGAACTATCATTTGTCATACATCCTATTAAAAAAAACTTAATAACATTTTCTTGGTTAAAGGATGTAGCCCTGGAAAGAAAAATATTTTTTGGTTAACATACTGATAATGATGGATTTCTTTTCATGAAACAACGAAACCAATCCTTCGAAGCCTTTTGTCGCTCAATCCACTTTTCGGGTGCTATCTTATTTGCAGCTGCATATTCTTAAGCAAGCTCCTTCACCTGAAATATAGTGAGCCCATATAGAGCACATCTTTGAAAATCTTTTATAATCGGCAAATAGTTCCTCTTGTTTCTGAGAAAAATGTCTTCTATTTCCAATATCGGGATTATTAGTGAACATAGTTGAAGACTTTGACTTTTTTAACGATATTCGCCAAATATGATTTCGATGTCTTATATGTTGAAGCAACTGAAGAGAATAGAAGGATTTTTATTCAATATAGATTATTACATAATACTTATTGAAAGTCGTTTTTTATTTATTTACCACTGGTTCGGAAAATACCTCTGTCCTGGGAAGAACCAGCAACAAACCCAGCTGGACTTTTATTAACAATAATTTCACTTAACAATAATTTTGTTTATACAATTTTAAATGAATTTTCATAGAACCAGCATGGTGGCGATCACCTTATTCCCAGGGGTTATTTTCATTCATGTATTCCTTGATATTATAATAACCCTTTTTGTACAGTTTTTCCTTAATAAAACTTTTAAACTTGTTTATTGACAAACTTTGAACATGTTCTGGGATTTTGTCGTAAAAGCGTATACATTGCCCCATAAATGAATTACTAATTATGTGGAGTCTAGTAACTGGCATTACAAACTTATGTTTCCTAGTGTTTAAGGTATGAACATCCTTATTATTAAAGCTATTTATGTTTTTGTGTATATA